TCCTAGCCACAAACCTCAACGGTAGTTTATCAGGATTTTATGACAACAAAATAAGCGCTGATACATTTGGATTCTGCTGCCTCCTAAATTAAATCCAGTCCAACCACCCGCCTTCAGCGTCGTCATCGTTAGGAAATCATCACTGTGTAATTTAATCCCAGCATAAATGCAGCTGTTCTGTGAAGGCCTCCAGAAAACAGATGGCACAGACCAGACAGCTCAGAGACGAAGGTTTTGGAAGAGTTTGAACAATATTGAGACCTTTGAGCATCTCTACAGATTGTTTATTCCATCATCTGAAATCATAAAAACAGCCTGACTGTTGGCCTACAAAGATCTGGTCCTACAAGAAAGAATGAAGAAACATGTCTGCCTTTCGGGAAAAAAACCCCTGCAGGTTACTTCCAGATACATCACTTTCTCTGTTAACAGATTGGATTAAATTAAAATTCCTGTTTTATTTTGATTTCTTTGTTAATGCAGGTTTATGTTCTGTGTATCCTATAAAACTCAAATATAGTAAAGGGCCATTTCAGGCTGTAACATGATCAAGTTCTTTAGCTGCTTTTTTTAAAGCTGGGCATACACTGTGCAATTTTTATTTTATTTTTATTTTTTCAATTGTTGCACGCAGCTAACTTGCGCTAACACCACAGTGTTGAGTTCACAGCTCACAGTGTAAGTTCTCACACTGTGTGGCCCGACGCTCTGATGCGATCTACCTGCTAACAAAACCACGTCGGACTCAGTTTCCCAGTGAGATGGTGCTACTCGGATTGTCTATCTGGAAGTCAGACGAGTAGAAGTATGAAGCTCACTATAGTGAAACGCGCCGCCTTGGCAATTTGTGCAATTTTGTGCTGAAAGCCATTAACAGAAAAGGCAAAGACATGGCTGAACAAACGAGGCTCGTTCATTATCCCCTGTACACAACATGACTCATGACACACTATCAAACTGAAAGTCGGCTCAAAAGGGCAAAAAATGGTAGAGTGTAAGCACGGCGTAAGCTGCGGTCGCCATTTTAAATGAATTCTTCCATGAATGTTTTTAACAGGAAAAGGATCAGAGGAGTTTGGACTTGAACACAGCCAAGTGTATGCTGGGGCTTCTTCTGGGGAAAACATGGCCTCTCTTCCCTGTGTTTAATCAGTTTTTAGAGGTGAGCATACAACTAATGCTGCACCTGTAACGCAGAGAACTGTATTAACCTGAGGCATTTGTTTTTTTTGTTTTTTTTTTTTTGTTCCTCAGCAATCCAAGTACAAGGTCATCAACAAAGACCAGTGGTGCAATGTTTTAGAGTTCAGCAGGACAATCAACCTGGACCTTAGTAACTACGATGAAGACGGCGCCTGTAAGTCGGCAGCTAAATGATTGTGAATGCGTCCCAGTTTTACTACAGCAGTAATGGTTGTCTTTTTTTCCTCAGGGCCCGTGTTGCTGGATGAGTTTGTGGAATGGTACAAGGAAAGACAGATGTCATAGCTACAGATTTGGGAGAATAAAGAATTACAACTAAACAAAAGGAAGTAAAAAAAAATAATTCAACTGTGACCACAACAACTCTTGAGTATCAACAACCGATAAAGCAGACGCAACAAAATGAGTAAAGCAGTGACAGTTGGTGGCTGCTGGTGAAGGTTTGGGTTCAGGTTGGGGGCGGGGCTTTGCTGCCCAGAGCTGTTCTCACATTTATGCTCCCTATGGAAGTCACATTGTCGGTAGGTTTGCAGCGATCCCTCCCACCCCCTCTTAATGGCGTAGCTCTCTGTCACTGTGGCGTCTCATATTGCCGTCTATGTTGGGGTAACATGGTATCCCACGCCGATGATGCAAACGGCAAGAGAAACCAACAGAGCTGACCATTAACACATTGTATCCAAGTCTTAAACAGGATCTCTTGGACCTAGGCAGACTCAAGTATTATAGACCCGTGCAATGAAGTTCAACTTGATCTCTGGACAGATGGCACTAACTACTGTTTGTGGTTCTTCTGTAGTTTAGTAGTTCTCCTAAAAGCACACTGTGTCAAAGGCTTGACCGCAGGTTTCTGATGGCTGTGCCGTTTACTATCAAAAAGCCAGTTCTTTCTTTCCCTCCATTTCTTCTTCGTTTTGCTAATAACTTTCCGCTACCCCATGCAAAGACTATTCAAACCTCATAACACCAAACAAATCAGCATTGCTGCTTACTAACTCTTACTACAGTGCAACAGTGAGCCGCCAGCGCTCTGCTCTGCATTCATTGGTCCAACGGCCAATTTATGTATCTACGCTGCGTAGACAAGAGTATTACTGTGCCTCAAACATGAAAGTCGCTTTGTGTGTCCTGCACAGATACCACCAAACCCAAACATATGTACGTGTGACCCTACGGTGCCTTTCAAAAGTATTCCTACCCCTGTTTTTCACATTCTGTCTAAACACAGATTTTCAGTGCATTTTATTTGGATTTAGGACGATGAACCAACATGGAGTAGTGAATTGTTTGCAAGCAGAAGGCAAATGTTACATGGTTTTAAAATGTTTAATGAACATAAGTACATATTTTTATTCAACCCCTCCTGAATAAGTTTGGTTTAAAACTGCTTTTCACTGCAGTAATAGTTGCAAGACTTAATTTTGCACATATTAAAATCCTTATTCATTCCTTATGATTGGTTAGATGGAGAGGTTTGTCAATGTTAGTTTTAGAGTCTTCTTATGATTGTTCCTTTAGATTTAGGTCTAAACATTCATTGATCCATTTTATCATAGGAGTATGCTTTTATCCTTTTTATCACAGATGTTTTTTTGTTCCCATTTTCTTCTTTTGTTTAGCTACATCTAGTAGTTTCCTTTTCAACTTTGACCACAACTGACTGATAGCTGCAGATCAGCGTTCCAATAGCATAATGCTTTTTTTTGCTCCAGCAGTTGATAAGCAGTATTAGTTTTCCATGTTGGCCTAAAAGTTTAACTTTTGTCTTGTCTGACCTAAACCCCTTCTTCCATAAGTTTGCTGTATCATCGTACAAGTCTAATAATGAATTCAACTTGTAGTCTTCTTTAATAATGTCTTTCCTCTGGTCACTCTTACATAAAGGACAGATTTGTAGCATGAATGACGGCATTCATGGTGTCCTGTCTGGCAATGTGGCAATAAGAATAATTGTCTTGATGCCAAAAAGAGCCCAACAGATTTTACTTTCACAAGTGGAGCAGTAGGACTTTTGCCATAGTGTTCTGCTTGTTTTATGCATATAACTTAATCTTGTGTTATTGAATTTTTATAATTATTGAAATGAAGTTATTTTGCTTTCAAACAATTCCATATTGAGTATAGAATTAGTAGTACTGTGTACTGACAGTAAATTTAATGTGTTATTTAATTTAGACCACCAGAAAACAGCAAAGTGCTTCCAGAAGTGATCCTTGGGTGTGTTGGCTATGCACTGAGCAGGCATCAGTGCTAAACACACGCCGCCTTCGCCCTCTGGTGGCTTGAGGTAGATTTCAGACCATAGTATTTAAGGAAACTCTCTCCGTGTCCAGTGAGGTGTTTTCTGTGATATTTTTGCTGTTTGTTCTCTAATGTTCTCCGCTTAGTTCTTTACAGAAATGCTGCATTTATGCTGTGATTAAAGTTACACACAGGTTGCATATAGCTGCTGATTATTTTATGGCATTTCCTTCATGCATTTCAAAGGAGTTAATACAAACACTCCACAGTTCTTATTTAAAAAACTTTATTTTACTCTTCATTTTTCCTCCCCTTAAAAGTGCTCTTCTGCTTTTGTCCGTCATATAAAATTCCAATAAAACGCACTGAATTTTGTGGTTGTAAAGTGGCAAAATGTGAGAGTTGAAGGAGTTGTAACACTTTTTGCAAGACACTGTACATTCAGCACATGCAGGTAGTGACGCACAAGCAGTCAGGTAATCATTCAGGATGAATTCAGACTGTTTAGGCTGTGTTATAAGTTAACATAGTGCCAGATGGTGTCCATTTTGTCTTGGTGTTTAGCATTTGTTTGTCTTCCTCAGTCCACTGATAGTTTGTTGGTCTCATTTTTTCTGGTAGCGTTCCTCCAAACACTGACAGTGTTACTGTAGCTGCAGTGGAACAACTGAGACCCTCTGAGGACATGGTCTCCTTTAGGCTAGTGAGGTACGTAAGTTTGCTGAAAGCGTTTCTTTATACCACCTGTAGGACGTAAACAAAAAATGTGGACACCGACCATTTGGACGTTTGATGATGATGCTATGCTGTTCTCTTCGCCTAGTGTAATGTTCTCGTAACACATGTATAAAAAAATAAAAATACTTGTTTTTTTTTTTTTTGTCTTTGACTGTGATGTGATGCTGCACCGTCAGAAGATTTACTATTTGCATGCATGCTCCAACAGAGCCTTTTGTGAATGGATGAGCTTTTGAAAACATTTTTCAAACATTGTTTGTTTTGTACAGTTAATTGTGCATGTGTTCTGTGCTTATTTTGACAAACAGTCATGTTAGTCTATTTTTCCTATGAAAAAAACAAAACAGAATTGTGTCCACCACAACCTGGAACACACCTGTAACCTCATGGTGGACCAGGAGTTCCCTCCTGCATTTATCCCATCCTACTAATAATTATGTATAGTAATGACAGCAAACCAGTGTGAGGAAATCTTTATTATTTTGAAGTGCATACAATATTGGTTTTGTAACTTCTGTAATTAAGGTCATGATGTACATGGAAAGGTTTTCACAGAAGCTTCAATTTTTTGGCGAAAACTGGATTTAACTGTTTTGTTGTATGCTACACACTATGTAAAGATGAAAATGTCTTTAGTATAATCCAATGAAAATGCAGGAGGATGAACAGCTTGTCCCGACTGTAAATATGTTTGTAAACAATCTGAGTGTCTGTTTTCACTATAACCAATGTCTATACACATAAATAAAAAGGTTTATTAACTTACTGGCTTATGCATGGATTCTTCCAGTATATTGTATATAAAAAACATGACCGACACATTAATCACAATCCTATTTTTTGCAAATAATCAGGCTTTACTTTATAACATCAAGATGAGTTTGAGTATTAAGGATCTGTTCTCTTTGAAGCATCTCATGGTGAACATGAAGAGTTAAAGGTAGTTTGAACACTTTAAAGGACTGAAAAAAAACATTTGGAACCATAAACATGGAGGATATAGATGAAAATATGAATAAAAAATTACTTTTATAGCTTATATGTATAAAGCACTTTAAAATGTACTGTGAAAAATAAATTGCTCAAGTGCATGTTTGATAATCTATTAACAATATACAAGTAGGAAATAAAATCACAACTGGCTCAGTTTTTTCTGATTTCAATTAGAACGGCTCATATTTTTTTCTTTTTCTACCTATCTTAGCCAAGGGTATCTAGGCTTTCTCATTCATCTGGCTTAGGTGTGGCTGGATCAGGAAGCAAGATGTCTGTTGATGACTCCCCAATGCTGTGGCTTTGATAGCGAGGAACTCCATACAACAACAACAAATCTAGGTCTTTTTTTGTCTCACTTGCAGAAGGAGAATTTATTTGAGACTGTTGAGAAAAGATGTCAGTATATTTTTCAGAATGGCTTTGACTATAAGGGCCACCATCCTGTGTGTCAAATAAGGGACCTGAGTCTTTATCTAAAGCTTCCCAGTGTCTCCTCTCGTGTGACATGGCTTTTAAGGCACTGAGGCCTTTCCTCCCCTTTGCCCCTAATGAAACTGTCAATGTCTCATTTGTCTTTTGAGGTGAATTTCCAAGAATATTACTAGACAACGGAGCTGACATGTCTCGTTCGGTCTTGGATCTAGATTGTCTCAGTTTCATCTGTATGATGTCTTCAAAGCTTGTATTTGAAGCAGCTTTTGGAGTAAGAGATCCGTCGATGTCATTTGAGCCATCTTGTGAAAGATTGGATCTAAGATCATAGATTTGACTCTCGCCACTTGTGAAAGAACTTTTTGGTACTGATGATTTGAAAATGGAACGTTTATAGCTAATAATTGATTCCTCTGTTGGCCCTACAGTTGTCGATACCTGTCTGTTTTGCACCGTGTTTTGTTTTGTCAGGTTTTCATTCTGGCTGAAGAAAGGTGGGGTATTGCCTAGCTCTGGAGATGGTGCCTTAATATCCAAACGCCTCTTGATGCGTGGAATCCCACTACCCAAGTCAGTAATGCTGTGGACTTTTGTCTCGTCCTCGCTGCTTGAAGAGGATTCAGAAGTCTCTTTCGGTTGTGTAGTTAAATCCTTGTTCTCATTAAAACTGTGTTTCTCATTTATTCTCTGTTGAATTACATCTGAGAAGGTAAACCTGTCATTTGTCTCCTTCAGAGGAGGAGAAGGATTAACTTGATAGGTTTCCTGTAATGGCGATGCGCCTCTATGCATTATTTCCTGGATCCGACCAACCCTTTTCTTTATTCTTTGTCTTCTTCCTGAGCCACTTTCACTACTGGTAGAGATAGGGGAGTCAGGTGGGGGTGGGGACTTCGGATCAGATGCTTCTGTTGATGTAATTTCGAGATGCTTTCGGAAGCGGGAAACACCAAGATTCATTGTGGCCCATCTTAACTGAAGCTCTGGGTCTATCTCTACTGTTGCTCTGCTGTTGTCACTTGTTGGCATGTTCTTGCGGTCATCTGAAATAACAGTATATTTTTCTAATGTAATTTTTCTGTCTGGTTTTGGACTATAAGACATGTTTTTCCAAGGAAGTGTCTGTGGCCTTATTGTCTTCTTCTCTGAGACTGCCGATATAAAAGATATATCATTTCCAAATTTGGCTTTATTGTTTGTTTTATCCTCATCACTTTCACTACTGGATGACTGTGATTCAGATTTGTTTAGACCCAAAGATGAGCTACGGTTGGGTCCCATAGGTAACAATAAGGATGGAGCTTTACTATCTACATGCCTGTTGAAGGATTGATTTACTCCTTCATGTCTTTGGTCTCTGTCAGCTTTTAGTGAAGGGTCTGCAGTCAAACCAACACTTTTAATACTGCCAGAGGATGATAGAGGAGGAACATAAGCTTTGACATCAAGATGTTTTTTAATTCTTGATGTTTGGCTAAGATCAAGGACAGGCCATGTATTTTCTGGTTTAGAGCTAACTGTTAGAGGTACTTCAGGTGGAGGTTTTGAGGTCAGCAATTCTTCCTGCTTTTGTTTAATCACATGCCCCTTTGTTTCACTCTCACTGTCACTACTAGAGGATGAACCAGAATTAGGAGATGGTGCTTTAATATCAAGACGCCTCTTGATGCGAGGAAGATTGAAAATGTTGATAGCTGGCCACTGTCCATCTGGATCAAACCCTTTTGTAGTTGTGTCTTGAAAAGAGAGATGGGGAGGATGGAATAATACTGGCTTCCTGATGTCTTTTGTTTCATTTGCACTGTAACTTGCAGATGATGAATCTAATTGTGCTGTAGGTGCTTTGATATCTAAACGCTTTTTAAATCGTGTTACTCTCCAAAGATCAAGGGAAGGCCATTGGTTTTCCAGCTTTTGGCTTGGTGTTTGGCTTGTTTGAAGTGGATTTCTTGAAATATGAATCTCCTCTTGTTTCTGTTTTATATGGTCCTCTTTGTCATCACCACTGTCACTACTAGAAGATGAATCTGAATCTGTAGATGGTCGCTTGATATCTGAGGTTCTTTTGTGTTCTGTTGTTTTTCCAAGATCAGGCGGAGGTCCAAGCTTTTCTGGTTTAGAGTGTACTGTTGGAGAAGCTTGAATTGAAAGCACATTTTCTCTCTTTTGTTTTGTCTCATTGCTTCTTAAATCATCTTCACTATCACTGTTGGATGATGCATCTGAATAGGCTAAAGCAGGTTTGATATCCAGCTGCCTTTTTATCGTAATTTTCCCAGGATCCATTACAGGCCCCCGGTTTGCTGGCTGTTGAATTGCTGAAGTTATGCTAACTGGAACTTTTGATATAGGAAACTCTTTTTGACTCTGTTTTGTCATATGGCCTTTTGTTTCATTTTTACTGTCACTGGCAGATGAATCTAAATCTGCTGCAGGTGCTTTGATATCCAGACGTTTTTTAAATCGTGTTACTTTCCAAAGATCAAGGGAAGGCCATTGGTTTCCTTGATGTTGACTCGGCATTTGGTTTGTTTTAAGTAGATTCTGTGAAAAATGCAACTCTTCTTGTTTTGGCTGTGCCATATGGTGTTTTGTTTCACTATCACTACTAGAAGAGGAATCTGAATCTGTTGAGGTTGCTTTGATATCTACAGGTTTGTTGAATTCTGTATTTTTTTCCAGATCTGGGGGAGGCCAACGATTTTCTGGTTTAGGTATTATAGTTGGGGAAACTTTAGTTGGAAGGTTTGACATTACCAGTTCTTGCTTTTGTTTCATCATGTGGCTTCTTGTTTCATCCTCACTGTCACTAGACGATGATTCTGATTGTGTTTTGGGCGTTTTGATATCCAGACGTGGTCTTATCTGTGTTGCTTTCCCAAAATCCAGTACAGGCCACTGGTTTCCTGGTTTTTGACTTGCTGTGGTTATGTTAACTGGAACCTTTGATATAAGAGATTCTTCTTGGTTTTGTTTTGTCATATAGTCTATTGTTTCCTTATGACTGCCATTAGCAAAGGATACATCTGAATCTGCTGTAGGTGCTTTGATATCCAGACGCTTTTTAAATCGCGTTACACTCCAAAGATCAAGTGAAGGCCATTGGTTTCCTTGATGTTGACTAGGCTTTTGGCTTGTTTTAAATGTATTTCTTGATGAATGTAACTTCTCCTGGTTTTCTTTGATCATATGGGCTTGCCTGTCATCATCGCTGTCACTACTAGAAGATGAATCTGTTGCATGCTTTGACCTCACCAATTCCCCTTGCTTTTGTTTCATTACTTGTCCTCTTGTTTCATTCTCACTGTAAATACTAGATGATGAATCTGGATCTGGTGTGGGGACTTTGATATTCAGGTATCTTTTTGTTGGAGTTATTTTCCTAAGATCCAGTGCAGGCCAGTGGTTTTCTGGATTTTGACTTGCTGTAGTTCTTTTGGCCAAGACATTTACTATTGGTAACTCCTCTTGCTTCTGCTCTGTCAGATGTTTTTTTGTTTCACTATCAC